TGTATTAGGTTGGTGCAAAAGTAATGGCCGATTTGCGAATTCTCACTTTGACGTGCTATAACTTTTGGAAGAATTCACATTTCCGAATGCGGTAAAAACATCAGAAGCAGCAAACCTTCTGCAATGCAGCGCACATTTATTTATACTCATATCACGAACGGGCAGAAAAATATGGATTGAAAAATAAAAAAGGTTCTTCTGCTAAAACCTTGTCTCTGACAATTCATATCTTCCTTCAAAGTTTATTGGTATAAATGTTAAGTAGCCTATCTTGTAGCCACAAACCAGTAGTACAAAAAATAATAAAAAGAATTTGGACAGAAAAGTTTGTGAAAAAGAAAAAAATTGAATTTTGAAATTTCACACTTTTTTGAACATTTTTTCAGTGTGCCTCAAAGTCCCAAATATAGAATTTTTTGATTTTCTAGGTACTGAACAGCTGGATGTTTTTGTAAAAACTGCTAACAGGATGCCCTAGCCCTACGCTTATAGAATTGAGCAAAGCTCCGGCGAATGACTTCTTCAGAAGAAAATTATGGGTCATAAAATGGGTCATAAAATGACCGCAACAGCTACCCATGTTTAGGCGCCGATATCTCAGTCTGGATAGCCTCAAAGAACACAGTTAAGTATGCATAATGTAGACAATTTCTATTCATACAATACCTAAATTTTCGAACAAATCCCATTGATACGCGCTTGAATTCTGGCCTTAAAAGTGAAAGAAATGAAATTCTGAATTTGGATGCGGTCATTTGAAGCTCAGTAACTTTATAACAGATGAGGATGAGAGCACGTTTCAAGTACCGTTAAATAGAGCATGGAAAGAGCTTCGCGATGGTATACTACATCTATTGTAAAGAAGAAGTATTTGTGGTAAAAAGTTGCTCTGAAAAAAGGTTTGGAAAATCGGCCATTACTTTTGCACCAACCTCATACATGACCCTCACTAGCTCCTCACCACTTGCTTGTCCGTTTTGCAGGCTTGTAGTTCGGCCTACTGTCAATTTTTAGCCTGCAAGTAGGCTCGTTCAAAAGAACGAGGCTTCCTCTATAGACGGTTTGCGAAGGGCGTGAGTTCAAGAAATACTGTGAATTTGGAGATTGGGTTGAAAAGGCGCAGCCTCAGTGGTGACTGGAGCAAAAACTCTCTTCGACATCAAAACAGCTTAAGAAGCTCGAAATTGAATTATCCAGGAGAGTTGTCTCTGAACTTCTAGGATGAAACTGGTAATGAAAAAAGCTCTGCTTGACCTTGGTTGGAGAATTTTTACTCTGCCACAGAGGCTGCGCCTTTTCATTCCATTCTCCGAGAGAGCAACCATTTTGTCCGAACACCCTTGTTGGGATGTCTTGAATAGGTTCCCATGTGAAAAAATTCGATTTGTAAGAGAAATATAGAAGTTGATTTCAAAATGCAGGGTAAAATTCAAGCTTGTGTGTTTTAAGAAAGCAACCATAATAGAGCGTGATGAGATGGTCAAAGAGGAAACAGCGCGGCTCTTAAAGTCTACTCTATATTCAATGAGTAGCAGTTACAAGATCTTTTTTTAGAGAGATAGTGCAGATTTTCAGATCATGATGCCGTGATTGTCCAATTATTCGCGGTTATTTCAATTTCTTTATTATATGAAGCTCTATGTCGATAAACAGCGGTATGATATCATTTGTAAAAGGTAATCTCTCCGTAATTTTTTCAACGCTCAGCGTTGTTTCATTACAGCAGTGCTCGAAATTCATGGTACATTGGAACAACAGTTCGTCAGTCCTGATTTGTTCCGTCGGCTAATACATACGCGTGATCCCAAGAATAACGAAAGACTGGGAAAAAAAGGATAGCGATTCTTTTTTATGGACCGATCTCTTATCGCGAAGCACAGCTGGAAACGAAGAGTAGATAAAGTAAAAACAAACGCTTCAATTATGTCTTGCATACATAATTTGGGCATATCTCTAGAGCCGTACGAGGCGTCAAATTTCAGCTGTTTTCCGAAACCTTGTTGAGGTGCGCACCTGAGTCGCACTCTAGTTAGACAGCGCTTGTGCTAAACTGAAGGGATGTAAATGAAAATAAGCTTATTGTGACTGAACACAAATTTGACAGGGGATCATAGAATGGAAGGTTAGAAATCACAAATACATAATCCTTGGTATTCCATAATCATAATCCAATTTTCCTAATCCATAATCTAAGCTTTTGAGCAAATATCTGCTTTTCAGGTTATATAATATAAAGTACTGATAATTTTAGCTAAGCAGCTCAAAAGCATAACAAAACGCAGCAATTGACACTTTTTGCAGTAAATCTATAAAGCGATTAATGCTGAGAGGATCTTCTCATGGTAGAATATAAGGCTCGCAACTCTTACTGTTGACCGTGCCACTTTCGAAACATTCTTTTTCTAATAAAGCTTAGTTTTCATCATTCTGAATGTCATTCTAACATAAAAACATTTCCTTCTCTTCAATCTAAAGCAAGAGTAGTACCTTTGGCTTTTTTACATCAAAAAAGACGCAAGGTTCCCATTGTTTGAAGCGTCTTCGAAGCTTCTGAATTTAGAAGAGGAGTATGAGCAAAAATGTCTCAATTGTTCACTCTTTTACAAAAATTTCAGTTATATTATTTTGGGCTTCTCGTAGTACAAAATACCGCAAGCCTTTTCAAAGAACGTAAAAACATCAAAGTCCTAATTTTTTATTTTTTTCTCGTCCAAAGCAGTAAGGCGCAAAGCACCTCACTCAAAATTAGTCAATCATCCTCTCTTTTTTGAGTGAGGACTCTTGGAAGATATGCGAAAAATCTGACTCCATCAGCGAATAGCCCTTTTTCTAATTTCGAATAACACTATTGATAGGCATTTTTGGAAAGCTGTGTATTCTACTGCAAAAACAATCCGTTCGAAAAATATTGCAAAAGTATATGAGGGACGTTTTGTCTAATACATGTAATGTCAACTTCAGACCGTCAATACTATGGCCACATGGGTTCTTCCCGTTAAAAGCGGGAACTACTGGTTTGAACTAATTTTAATTTTATAAAGCAAACTGTGTGTAGCAGTCTCTTGAAGCACTTCCATTACGATTAATTTCTCTAACTCAATCTCTAACTTCAATCCATAAGATTTCAGCATATTATAAACTTGGAGCTTCAATTTACGTAGGACATTACCATCGTTTATTGAAGAAGCAAGATGTAAGTGTTGAAAATTATGGGTCGCGTAGGAACCACTTCAAGATCTCAAGATTTTAGGATGATCCTAGTCACTACACTTTGCCTTGCGGCCGCTGTGAATGCGGTCAGCGATGAAGATTGGTACTATGCAGAGATATTTGCAAAGAGGAGCGCGTTTCCTCTGACTGGTGGAGCTTACACGGACAACAAAAAGGCGCTGCAGTTATGCCTAAATAGAGTTGATGAAAAAGCGGTAAAGCCTTTTTTTCTGCCTCAAGTTGAAAAGGTAATGATGAACTTGGCGATGATTTGTTATATGGCGAGGGTCAAAGGATAGGAACAAGAATGCATGACTCTGCAGCCGCCACTTCTGATATCTCTTTGTTAATGCCAAGAAAAGCAGTTAAAAGCATGGTTAACTTTGTTTCAAGGTTCCACTTCAACCTATCTCGAAGCAGCTATCCACCTTTTTTCTTACAAGAAAGGCAACTTACTAAGTTCGGCCTTTTAGATCCGAATCAGCATCAGAAGCTAATTCGGATATGCTACTTTTAGGTGCAGCCCATTAATCTGGAGCGAGTTATTGACATTTCTGAGCAAAAATTTGCTCATCCACTTACTGACATCAGGGCACCATCTTCTAAGTACTAATACGATGCGTTAAGCTACTCGTCAGTAAGGAGAAATTGTGATATTATTTTAATGTCGCAGCAGTTTTTTTCGGGCAGATTTCTACCTATAAGCAGTCTTCTCTTGTTGAGCAGTACGCCTATAGTAAAAAGCTTAATTGGTGGGTCGCAGCTAAAACTAGTATATTCGGCAGCATTCCAAGCTGATATAGTATCTAGCTGCAGTTTCATAGAATCAAAGCCTCTGGTTCCTTTCCTGCTGAGAGCTTTTAGATACGCTGCTTCCAGTTTAAAACTACGATATAAAAGGTGACTGTGTTTTGAAACGAATCTTGCGAACAACGATTTTGGAAATTCGCGTACATTCTGAGCGATGTGCAATGAATGTACAAGGCTTATCAATTGCAGTGTCAGGCGCATCAGCATCTCCGCTCCCGCGCGAGACTCTGCACCTCTTACGCGAACATGCTCTCATATGAAGTCGATTGGCTCCGCCTTTCCAACGTTCGCGATAGGAAAATGATCAAAGGGCATGTTCGCGAAAAAGGCGCAGAGTCCAGGTAAGGCGGCCGCGCAAGAGCGGACAGCTGATGCACCTGACACTACGACTGATAAGCCCTGTACTTTGTACCAGCAATGCTTTACTGACTAATGACATGACATGATGTCCACCTTTTTTGGTAGTAACCGTGACAAAGGTCGACTCTTATAAAAGAAGTCCTTTTGCTTTTCCGACCGTAAGCCTACAGTACCATGAAAGTCTTGTAGACTACTATATACTGTTAACCTAAATGGCTAGCTCTACAGAAAGTAACCAAAGTGAGACTCATGGGCAGAAGGAATATTATAGCATTAGTGTCATATTCTGGGACCTTCATGAGGCTCTGAAGATAGAGGAGGAAGCAGCAGTCAGGTAAATGGCGAGATGAAAGGGTAGTTTTTCGAAGGGTGCCTGAGCTAAGCTCAGTCCTGCTTACGGCATTAAGGTCACATTCTGGATTTTTGTGACTTTTTCGGAGATTCTGCTTTGTTATCAATATATTGATAACTGAGTGTGTGTGTTCAGGAGACTGGAGGGATATTCAAAGCGCCATGCGAATTTGACAATGAAAAGTTTACCTGTAAGGCCTACACTGCTGTTTTACCCACAAAAAAAGCAATAGTAATAGCTTTCAGGTAATTTTTTCAGATGTAATCTAGAGCCAGAGTCAAGCCCTATAACTAAAATTTTTCAACTGATCTTGATCTACATATTACTCAAGACCATGTTAGAAAGACTAAACGTCCTAAACAGCAGCTACGGCAAATATTATATCTCTGACCAAAAGGTGCGGATCTTGAAAGGCAAAGCCGACTTGTCGATGGGCGTGTTTGCTGTACATGATCTATATGTCATTGTGTATTTGAGGAGTACGCGACATTTAAAAGTGCAGAAACCAAATAAGCACTTGCCAGTTTTCAATTTTTTTGGTACATAAAACCAGTATTATGGTGAATTTTTCATGATTTACGTGATTATAGTATGTTAAAAGTGCAAGCCTAAAGTGTTTTCTTGCGAAGTCTAAACTTCTCTCAAAAGCCGATAAATCCAAGGTTCGCTTCGCACTAGATAACTATTTCATCAGGAGATTCTGCAGAAATCTTTCACTGAAAAAACGACTTGGGCTGGTATTCGTTAGTTAGTTGAGCACAAAACTGTGAAAAGCTCAAGTCTGCCTGCCATTGTCACATGGAGACGGCCACTGTCAAACAGGGCTTTTGAGCGAACGAATGTTGAATGTTGGCTTTGGCAGATTTGGACTTTGCAGCCTGTATGAGTTGCCTAAAATTACGAAAAGGGGGAGGGGAGTTATGTTACCAGCATCTAGCCACCGTAGCACCAGAAACCGTTAGCAAGGCGCATCGAGCTGTCTTACGGTATTCTTCTGCACCCATTTCGCAACTGTGTGTATGAGCCACTAGCAAACAGCGTAAATTCCATCCATTTCCGCCGCTGCCTCGAGCATCAACGCTAAACTTTTGGCGGAAGAACTTACAAGGGAACCGTGTCGAGTCGAAGTGGCCTTTCCAGATGAGGCCCATACTGCTTTGAAGAGCATTAATCGATGATTCCAAATCTGCTTTCCAAATCTGCCAAGCGCCTCTGGACGCCGAGTCATGCTCGTTTTTCAGGTCAAAAAATTGAACGCAAAACTGAAGCAAAATCGCCCAAATTTGCTCAAATGGTCCAGTGTCGAGTATCAGAGCTGTTTATGCAATGGATACGTTTTATTTTATATGCTAATATGCTGCTTTTATATGCTTTACTTGACATTACTTTATCTGAGCGCTGGAAAGATTGTAACAATCAATTTTACCTAAATTCTGCATTCAATTTTCGTTCCGAAAAACGGTCACAACTCGGCGTCCAGAGGCGCTTGGCAGATTTGGAAAGCAGATTTGGACTCACCGCTTAATACTCTTCAAAGCAATATGCTCAGACAATTGCATCGGAAAGTTCGCGGCCTCAAAGCGTGTTACATGGCGCGCCGAAGCCCTTAAAACTTCAGCCGCACACGCCGCGGTCCATATATATTTTACCAGGAACGCCGCGGCCAAAATTGATATCGGGAAGAGATTACCGGGAAGGTCGCGGCCCAACCACCTCACTCGGCGGACCGCGGGCCCTATCAAAGGCCGCACTTCTTACACGCTGTAGTTTAAGGCGCAACCCTCGTGAGGTACGTCGCAGCGATGGGGCTACCCTAAGTGTTTATGAGGCTGGGTATCGCTTCTCGGATTTGGTCCTATCTGACAGAGTTGAGTTCTTATGCTGATGAAATAAACTTCAGCAGTCGGATGAGTATCGACGACATTAGATGATGCCGACAGATGAGCTAACAAGTTGCTCAATTTGTGCTCAAGTCGTTGTCATGAAAGACACGCCAAAAGATTTTTCACTCTTCCTAGGCCTCACAAGCATGCTAATCGGGTCAACTATCGGGCGCTTACAGGGTGCACCGCGGTCACTTAGCGGGTCCAATTTCAGTTTATACCGGGCACCTCGCAGCATGGATGATTGGTGGTCGAGCAAGCACCCGCGAACTTCCCGATGCGATTGTCTGAGTGGGTCTCATCTGGAAAGGCCTCTTCGACTCGACACGGTTCCCTTGTTAGAAGACAAGAGTTTTTTTTAGGTCTTAGGCGTTTTTGCTGGTGTAACGTGTGAAATTGATAGAACTCGTTCAATTTCCTTTTTTAATCGATTTCGTATTTTTCTGCATATAATTGAAATGCTGAAATCTTTTGTATAGACCTACCTGAGCAGTAAAAGAACAATTAGGTGCGCAAACGACTATAGCTGAAGGCATTTGCTGCTGATTAGTCACGCTATTGCTTGCTTAAGTAAAATTAATTTCCCAAAATTTCTCTTTGCTTCTGACATCTGTACCAGTCAGTTGGGCGCAGGTCAAAATCATTGGAAATTATTAGTCTGCACTTGCAATCTAGGCCGTTGATTAAGGATTGTAGTGATAAATTCTCTCAATTTATAGTTGAGGGAACAAACATGGAACGAAATGTTTTCCACTCTTCTACGTTGCGGTAGACATTGGCACAAGCATGATCTGAATGAGCATTTTTTCTGAGTTTTTATTCAATTCTGGGAAAGTACGACGTAGCCACGGGAACTCGCAACGCGTCCAAACTTGACGAGACAGCATTCGTGCAGTTGACTAGCATGCGCATGACCGCAAATTGAGCGGACCCGCTATTTGCCAGCCGCCATAATCGCAGGAGTACCCTCAGGGGCCGGCACGCGTTGGTTTGGAGCATTTTTGGAAACGAAGTCCCCCATGACTTGGCGAAATTTTACGAAGTCCCCTTTGACATCAGAATTGGTAGTGGAGCCATTATTCAATCAACATAACGGCAAAAAAGCGAAAAAGCGGGTTTTGATTTACCTAATATAACAAAAAGGCAAAAAAAAACATTCTGATTCGATTAAATTCTTGAGTATGGTACCATTTTAGCATTCAGAACGTTGAAAACTTCTTAGGCCAGCCATATCTGTAGCCTCAACAATTTGGCGATTCATTTTTCGCCGTACAGTTCAAAGGATGCCGCATGTGACTGGAGCGCGCCATATCTATCAGTGCGTAGGTTTATGCTAATTCTGGCTAAAAAGAAAGCGGAGAGGCAATGGTTTGATTCGCTCTGTTCACTATATGATAGGTTTTTGAGCGTTCTAATCGTCCAAATCAAAAAGGTCCAAAACTTATGTGAACTCTCCGATATTTATGCTCCGAACCAACTCAGTTGGTTTGGTGTTGGTCTAGAAACCAACAAATTCGGGAACGGGTATTAGGAGACATAACCTTTTGAAACTTTTTACATAATATCGTTTGGAATGATATTATATGCGCATAGCCCAAATTCGGTGCCATGTGATTGTTTGTCCGGCTTAAACAAGCCATTGGTTCGTTTGCGTCTTGCGTTTGAAATTCGCGCGCCAGCGAAAGAACGCGTTCAACTTGTGAAACCTGACATGTTTGTTGATTTTTTTCGGTGCTCCTTCCAATACCCCGCAAAAACGATATCCCCTTTGATTTTGACCCCCAGGAAGTCCAGTTTGACCTCGAACCAACGGTGCAAGCCCTGAATACCCTTTGCTTCAGCCAGCTCGGAGGCTGGAAGGCGGGGCTCCGTGATCTAATTGGGGCTAGAAAATGATCAAGAGCATGTTTGCAAGGAAGGCGCAGACACGAGCAGTAGCCTTCCAGATCAAGAAGCCCCGTCTTCCAGCAGCCGACCTGATTGAAGTAAAGGGTATATCACTTTGGCGTCGTTATGTAACGCATGCCCTCTGACAAGGCGGCAATGTGAGCCAGCCATTCTCGAAAAATGCACATTTAGTTTCAATCATTCTTTTTGCAAGTTGAAATGCTTCCTTTAGAGGGACAGATCAAGGATTTGCGCAACTGGTTAGGGAAGCATGGCAGAGTATTGGCTTCAAGGTGAGCGGAGAGTCAATGCCTCCTTTCTAAATGTACATATTGTATGTGTTTCAGGAAAAGTGGCCATATGGAGGTTATGTTTCTGGTTACTTCAGCCAGGCTTTCCAGCGATTATGGGCAGCCGGTTTGGACAAGCAGGTTACAGGCCATCTCGCGAAGTACTCTGGCTACGAGATCTGGGCAAGTAATCTGCTTGCGAAAGGGAGATTCAAATGAGTTCATTATAATTCAGATTACGGGACACTCCCTTGGTGGCGCAATTGCAAACTTGGCAGCTTCCTGGGTCAAGTCTCTTCCAGGGTTCAAAGGGAAAGTAAAATTGGTTACATTTGGCTCACCAAGAGTGGGCAATAAAGAATTCAGTGATGCTCTTGAGAAATCGGTAAGCTTTCGTACGAAGTTGCATTTAACGCAAAGGACCTATAAGGCACTCCTACAATATAAGAAAAAATTAGCTGAGCCTACTAAGAGAAGCTAGATTGACTCTACACACATGTATAACATAATCTCACCAAAAAATGATTCTCAAAATAATTGAGCTCATCAGCAGTTATTTACAGGTGCAATACGTATACCGCGTAACCCACAGAAAAGATCCTGTAGTTCACATTCCGAATGTGAATTATCAACACGCTGGGAAAGAGGTGAGATTGCTTGAAGAAACACTTTAGGCACATATAAAGTCTAGTAGAAGTAGCTGCCCCTACATGCTTACTAGTTAATATTTCCCGACTAATAGGTACATTCATTACGCTATTTTTTTCTACTTATTTTTCCAAAAGGACAATTATGGGAATGAGTGTAAGCCTTTTCAAAGTCTTACACGCTCTACAAATGTGCTCAGACTAAACGCTCAATTTTGTTCAAAAAATCTAGTTTTTTTCTTTCAGAAATAGAATTTTGTAAAATAAAACCTTCTTAATTTATGCATAATATTGATTTTTGTCAATTCTTCCTGGATAGGTCCTCCATGACGGGTTTTTCCAAATCATCTATGATTGTAATTGAGGCTTCACAGATTTTTCAACGCTCATGATTTGGACGAATTTGCATATTTTGAAAATGGTAACAAAAGTACCTAAACAATTTGTATGGGATGGTTCACATGCAGTGAAATCATTCAACAAAAAGTAATTTTGCAAAACCGAACCGTGTAGAAGTTTGAGGTTTAATTTCCGTTATGCGAATCCATTTTAGTTGTGAGTCGTGCGCTTCAACTTTGGATGGAAGTTCATTCCGATCCTGCCAAAGCTGTCTACCTTCCACTTATTACAATTAACATGTGAACTCACCAACTGTTTTTGAAAGGTCCTAGGTAGCGTAAATTGGGTTTATATAGTAAAGAACAAAACTCTAGATTTCTGTAAAAACGTCTTCATTACTTTCTTGATGCCTTATTAGAACGAGTAATGTTGATAGGTGCTAGAGTTGGCAAATTGTCCAATGTAAAGGAATGCGGACTTGCTTATCCTTATCGCGCGTCTAATTGGATAAGGATCAAAAAGTGAAAAATTGTTTCTCAGACAATACACTAGTTTGAGATTAGCTTCCAATGAGCATTTTGACAAACAACAAACAAAAAGCAGCAACAAATCTCAAAAGCCACTACTACTGACAATGACTATCCTTTCTCAGACAATCAAATGCTCTCAAACGGCAGCCACAAAGCCACCGCCTAGACCCACCAAAAGCGCGGTGGCCTCATCGCCTCACTGTCGCTTCCCGCTGAGAGCTTTGTCGGAGTTTTGTCGGAGCTTGTCGGAGCGGGCTCAGCGGGCAGCGAGTCCGTTCCGACAAGCTCCGACAAAGCTCCGACAAAGCTCTCAGCGGGAAGCGACAGTGGCTGCGATAAGGCAACGACGCTTTTGGTGGGGCCCGCTGAGAGCCTGTGATTGTCTGAGTTGTTGGATCGCTCTGTTTATATTTGTATCTCAGCACCCGTCACAACGCACAAAATATAAACGGTGTTCACAATATGACTGGTGACGCTTCATTTTGGAGTGAAATGAAGTGTACGTAATAAACTTGTTCGTAAAAAAAAAGAGCTCATACATATTTAGCTAGTTGCTGCAGATGTCTGTGCAAAAACCTTCAAAGAAGTAGATAACTCCCAAAGTTGTTTGACACTTGGCAGTTGGCACTTCCTTCGCTTGAAAGGGACTAGACTAGTGGTCATTAAGTGCTCATTTAGATTTACTACAAGAATGGAATGACATATAGTACGGAACCCTGTGATGGTAAGAATTTTGCCTAGAGATTGCCAATCAAAATCAACATTTCTCGTATTTGTATTTGCAGTGGCCAAGGACAAAGAAAATTGCTTCGTAACATGTGCAAGTGAGCATCCTTTATAGAGCACCACTCAACAATTAGCATTTGACACTGATTTGACTTTATAGAATCAGAAGACAGTAAGTGTGCTCAGAGCATCACCGTAAATTGGCTCAGCCCAGCAATTGATGATCACAATAAATACTTCGGCGGCGGCGTAACAATTAGCGACTGGGGAGACCACGGATGTCTGTGATCAACTTTGTATTCGTTGAAATAAAGTCATGCATTCATCTGCTGCTACTACACTTCTAAGGCTCCCGCCAGAGTGCCGAAGCCATGCCAGCGCTACGCCAGCGCCGAGCCAGCGTTTTGATCGATACACGTATATTTCGTTGGGGCGGAGCTAGCTGACCTAGTTCTCAGCCAGGGTCCCGCCCCAACGAAATGCACGTGTATCTATTGAAACGCTGGCTCGGCGCTGGCGTAGCGCTGGCATGGCTTCGGCACTCTGGCGAAAGCCTAAACAATGCGCCCTTGGAAAATCACTATGCGAAAACGCATGAATTCTCGTTTACGTACCGCAACCTCCTTTTAACATTGAATTTGAAAACGCTTGCGATACACCTTTCTTCCACTTTTATTCCTGTGTACACCATAACTCGCTTTACACAGCTCGCGCCAAATAACACAATTTGATGACCAATCCGTACATCTCGTGCACAACTTTGTCCTATCTTACTGTAAGAGGAAATAGCAAAAAGCTCAAATATTATAGTGGATGGATTTATCACAAAGTTCATGGCACGACGGCGTGTTATTTACCTCTTCTCAAACCAAGATACAGTTTTATATGAAACAAGCGTAGCAGTAGTGCGCGAACTGGATTGGGTGTGAGTGCGCGGCGAAACCGCTTTTTTGAGCAGCAGATAGCAGCAATCTTCCACTGAACTCCAAGGTGGCATCCTTAATAATAATGTTGGCCTTATCAACAAAGGCATAACCAGGGTCGAGCAAGAGGTGTGGCATACAACCGCTGTGTACGCCTCCCCCCCCCCCCCCCCAAAGTATTTTCGTTTGCCTATCGTAGACACAAGCGCTCTACCAAGCAATAATAACGCATTCGTAATTATCATGTCCAGTAACCCCTGTGGGCCAAGTTTTAGCGAATTCTGACTACTGGACCACCCAAGTGAAGTGGCTATTTTCAAACATGGTTAACTACACATATACTGCTCCATGTTTGCCTACAGAATGGATCTTATCTCAAATAGCCTTCAAACCAAGAAATCAGAAGCCAACCAAAATCTCGTTTGTCCCATTTTTCGCAGTAGTTTTGCTTCCAGCAACTTTTGCTCAAACGAAAGAAGACGAAATCAGCTCTAATCACTTCCGCAAAAGTTACGAGGTTTTGACTATCGAATTGAACCGTATATTTGTTCCTTGATGAATTCTTTGAAGGTAAGTTAACAGGGTGTGGCACAACCCCAAAAAGGCTGTGGCTGCCACACTTTTTTAAGGGTCGCGCCACACCCCTAACTTACCTTCAAACCATTTAAATATCTGCGTTTTTTATATCGCTTCTACTGTTCAACCTTCTTCTTTACACAACAAAAGCTTTAGTTTGAGTTGTTTCTTCTAGGAAAAATATATACGTTTTCTCTTACCTGTACAAATGGCAAGTACTGCGAAAATATTGGGTTACGGTAACACGCTAAGCTTGCGCTACTACACGAAGGTAAGAGAGATAAGGCGACAAGAATGTATATACTCGATAGTTTGGGCCTCGTTATTTACACTAAAGTAGTTTGAGCCTTATTGGTTTTCTCTATTCTGAGATATTGAAAGCGAAAAATGAAACAAACGAAATTTGGCTTGCTCTTATTTCCTCGTTTGCAAATTATTTGAAGTATAGTAGACGTCTCCGTCTAGTCACCTTGGTACGATGTGTGTTACTGCACACATTCTCGAAATCCCAGATGAGGTGCGGGGTTCCTGCCTTGCACCAGATGCACGTGCGGCTAAAATTCGACGCAGATTCTGCCCGTTTTCCTTATTCAGTGTTTCTTTGTTTTAGGTGCACGCACGTCTAGTTTTCATGATTTGTTACCTTTATACCGTGCATTGCCGTTTTAGATCGCATAATTCAAAATGTATCACTTTTGCTTTAAGGTAAGGCAGGCAAATGAGCAATCCTGCAAGATTTCAAGTAGTGTGCTTTCTTCAGTATTGTCGGATGCAGAAAGAGTAAACTGTCTCTTAGGCAATGTGAGTTTCAACTCCCTTCTGACTGATATTGAAGAATTTGTTTTTTTTTGTGCCGATTTTTCAGTGAAAAGCTATTTTCAAACACAGCTTTGTGCAGAAGTTTTTCGTTAATGCGATGTTTGTGAATAGCATGGATCTTATTCAGCATCGCAATGATATTTGGATGGATGATAAGTTAAGTGCGAATTCCCTTCTTCGTTCCTTTGATATGTCCTGTTCGCTCCTCCTCGGTTGTCTGGCTGTAGTATGTTTGACGGCTTCTAGATCCTTGTGGAGGCTAGTTGTGAACCTTTCCTGATTTCAAAGATAAACTTGTTGAAATTCCGCATTATAACATTACTTTTCGTACTTTCTCGCTATCAAAAATCGTCCCGCTTTGAGATGGCAAGACTCATTCTCCACACGAATCTGCGAGCTAATGATACATCATTCTCGCTCACACCTCAGGAATGACCCCAACACAAAATTTTTTAACTGATTAGTAATTCAACTAAATTTTGTGAATTATCGCTTCTTTTGCATCAAGTTTCACCTACTATGAGCTTTCTATATGAGCCATAAGTCAGCTTAACATTTTTTTTCAAAGCTTCTAACAATAGGGTTGCCTTTTCATACAACACATCTTGCCCCTACGCACAATGGCAGGGTTCCCGGTTGCTCGTCAAGGGTGTCTTACTTCTTTGTGAGAAAGTGAACCCCTCGCCGTCAACTAAAGAGCCTTGAAGCCTCACGTACAATACAAAAGGTGGCTTTGCAAGATTCTCTAATCTGATTGTCTGCATCAACTTTTCGAATCCTCTGCGAGAGCATTGGCATGTGATCATCTTTCAAAGGTCCTGTTAGCTGAGAAACTCCAAATATTGTCTTCCGTCTAGGACTTCCCTTCTCAAAAGAAAGTGATTTCCTTGACGTAGCAACTAATGAGGACCCATAGTAATCCCCCCCGTCGCGAGGGTCGCGACGTTCGAAACATCGCACGTACCCAGCACCCGTACCCGTGTCGTTTCGGCCTCAATTCGTCGCGCGCCTATCTTTTATCACGGCCGCGCGGCGAAATCTCTGGAAGTCGTGACTGCAGGACGTGCTCGTCCTCCTTCGCAGAGGACGAGCACGTCGTGAACGTCGTCACGTAAGGGGCAGAGAAATAGAGATAGTGGGCCCAGCGTGGAGAAACAGGAAGACGCAACCGACTAAGGCTTGAGTACGCCGTGTTCGCCCTGTGCGCAAGGACCGTAGGCACACAGCACTAGGTTAATCGCACGTCATATGCGATCGATATCAACAGCTGATAAGCGCCCAAATGTCAACGCGCTGAGCGACTTTTCCTGATTTTTGAGCATTTCTGCTGTATTCTTTGTAAATTGGATAAGGTGAGTTCAGTTTAACTAAAATTTGCATCAGAGTTTGAATCTGTATCATATAGTGTTTAAACCATTTTTTTCTTTTCATTCTTACGTCGCAACTCATCTGCGCACCAAACTTTCCTTGCATGTCTCAAAATCACCTTTCTTCTTCCATCTTAGCATCATTTATAACATATTTTTGTTAAATTGCTTTTCATTAACTGTGTGCTCAGCGTGGTATAACATTATGGCTAATGCAATAGCTCGCGTTTCAGTAACCAAAGTGATAATAGCTCTACAATATTCTATTTCGTCTTGTGTAATGTCAATATTCTATGTTTCGAATTGTCGTTTTTCCCGTATCACCAAAAAATCAGCTAATTCCGTTCATTTAAGCAAAAAATCAATTAACCGCAACTTGCAAAACATTTCTTTACATGGTATTCGTTCTGTCACCGTTACTCAGCAGCGTTTAACGCTGGCGCTGCGCTACTCGCACCTTATAGTTGTCGTCACTATTCACCTTGATAGTGAACGTGGGAAGGCTGTGCATAACTTTGCAATCTACATAACACGCATCAAAGCTTGCTCGATTTGCTCGGCAAATGTCGCAAGCGATTGTTTTGTCTGTCGCATCTTTGCTTCGCCAGCTTTGATTTCGTTGGCATCGGAGAGATATCAGTAGCGCAGTGGTAGTACGCGCCGATCATCGAAGGGTTAGATCGCGCTTGCGCGCCCAAGTTTTGCGGCGCCCAAAAAGTGGTCGTGAGCAGCACGTCTTTCAGTCGGACACGTTGTGCCCTCGGTTTCTTTACATTACGACACATTTCGGTGGGTTACTACAGACCCAGAGAGCAGTCGATGGTTATTTATTATCCATCGATTCATCGTATTGTGATTGACTATCTCGGTAGCCCACTTGGTACCTTCAAAAATGGGCTTCATTCTGAGAACAAGTCTCTCGAGTCATTTCAGCTGCGTTAGGCCCCGGGCAGACTTCACGCGATTTCATCGTTGCGACTGAATCGCGACGAGACAACTGTTATTACAACATCATTCCATGCCGATCAGCTTGCATTCGGTTGTGATACTTTTCCAGCCCGAAATTTTTGAATGTGAAATGAAAATGAATGGAAATCTTGGCGATTAGATCGCGACGATTAAGTCGCGTGAAGTCTGTCCGGGGCCTTAGGCACGCCTGTTGAGTAGTCGCGAAAGTCACACGAGCTTTATCTCTCATAAAACCTGTACGAAATTGGCATCTTGGATATCACCTTATTTTTTCGTTCTCTAAGCAGCTTAACGCGATGGAAGCTAACTCATATGACGCCAGGAGAGCAAATGCGAATTCGCAGCCGCCACTACAATTTTACCGGCTGGGTGGTTATCTTTACGACATTAGTCGTAACATCTTCGAGAAGGTGATGTGGAAGTTTTCAAATTGGAATTTTTACGTTGCAACTCTTAAACTGGTGAAATGAGAGACTACCCCTAAAGGGACAATAGCGGCGCAGGTGTTGTGCTCTGAGACTATCCTAAAATTGCCCCTAAAGTAATCTAAGCGGGTCACCAATGGAAGTGCAATGAGGCTAATTTTGAGAGCCACAATAGCGGTAGAAATCACGTCCTTAGATACAAAATTTAGCCTGCTCCATTCCGCGAGGTAACCCCAACGCATTCCTGCGCATCTACCTGGACGCAT